TTTAAGTAACCAATGTCTTATCTTTAGGTCAAAATATTTTAAACAAAATCACATGATTTTCCTACAATTTTAAATAGAACCACATATCTCATTATAACCAATGTCTTATATCGTTATAACCAATGTCTTATCTACAATCCAACTTAAATATATTTTTATATATAAAAAATCATTAAAAATATAATTTACCAACGAATTTCTTGACAACATCAAAACAGTGCTTCCACTTTATGTATGGACTCCACACAAACCTGTCAAAACTAAAACATTAGATTCCAAAGCAATAGATTTCAACTTGGGTTAAAAAGAGACGACTCAAGCAGTGTAAGTTTGACATTACCTCTGAAAGGTGCTGACTGAATATTCTTCCTTTTGTACTATTAGGTGACGTTTGGTTCGTTGGAATCTCTTGGAATTAGGGGGATTGAAATCCAATTCTACCACTTTCTCATGTTTGATTCAAATTTTCAAAGGGGGAATTGAAATCCAATTCCATCAAGGGAGGAAAAATAAATTTCATCCATAACATGATAGAATTGAAATCCTTTAGAGGAGGGAATATGAAATTTGACCATACTAGCCACATCAATCTTTTGGTATTCGGGTTGGATTTTTTTTTAAAAAAATTGGGTTCAGTTCGGGTCGAATTTTTTTAAGTGTGATATTCGGGTCGGGTTTTTTTAAGTTTGATATTCGGGTCGGGTTTCTTTAATTGTGATATTCGGGTCGGGTCGTGTTTTTTTAAGTGTGATATTCGGGTCGAGTTCGGGTTTAGGGTGAAAATACCCGACCTGAAAAAAATATAATTTTAACTTATATATTTAAGAATAATTACAATAATACCCCTCTATATATAATTTTTTTCAATTAAGTCACTATTTTTATTGAATAAAAATAATTTTTTTATTATTTCGGGTCGGGTTTCTAATTCATATATTCGGGTCGGGTCTCGGGTGGAGGTTCCCTTGTTCTCGAGTCGGGTCGGGTGGACCAAAAACCCGACCCATGACCATCCCTAATTGTGATGATTTTAACTTATGATGCTTATTAGTATGATTTTTATAATTTATTGAAATGAATAATCAATCAATAAAATGAAAATTTAATATTTTTTAAATTTTTATAATATATTGCTACATGTAAGTTATAAAACAAACTAAAACTAAGAAAAAAAATAAGAAGGGTAATTCTGTCATTTTACATTACTGAAATCAAATTCATCGAACATGTCTGCGAACCAAACAGAATATGGAATTGAATTTTAATTCAATTTCCTGCCTACCAAACAGATTTCAGATTCAGATTCTAATTCCTTCAGATTCAGATTCTAATTCCTTCAGATTCTAATTTCTTCACAAATTCTAATTCTCTAGAAACATTCCAGCGAACCAAACGACACCGGTTTCATCTTTTGCAAACTAAACGATAGGTTTTGATTTGAAAACGTGGGCTTTCAATTTCAGAAGTAACCTTAATAAAACATTTTAACGTTTTTAATTTCGGACGTAATCTTAAACTCCAAATCTTTTTAGGGTCTGTTCAAAACAGAATGAAATCGAGAATAAAAAGGGAAGAGAATTATTTTAGGAAGAACGAAGGAAAATTGAGAGTTCCAGGATTAAAGTTCGAAGGTTGAGAGCAATGGTGGAGGATGAAAGTTGCAGAGAAGGGGAATGAGGGTCGGGGTAAATTTTAGGATGTTTACTTTTAGGTTAAATTTTTAAGATTAAAATATTAATATTGATTTTTTATTTATTTTATTTATTTTATTTTTTATATATTCGATTTTTATAAAAAATAAAAAATTATAATCAAGAACACATGTAAAAAAAATAAATAGATAACAATTTTCCTATAACGTTACTCATCGGGATGGATAAAAAATACTGCGGCCCTTATTTACCACACAAGTTTAGACACTTATTTGGTAGGCCTTCTAGTATCACCTCACTCTTCAAGTCCAATTCTCCGGATCACAAACTGGCATCAGCAACCAAATTCTCTTCTTCCAGAACAATGCAAAAACTCCTCTCACGTCCACCGTCCAACCTCCCAAGGCCTTCCCTTTCTTGCTTCTTGTCCCACTCTGTCTCCAAAACCACTGACGATCCTCCATATTCTCCTATTTCCTAACCCTTTGAACCCCCAAAACTCAAACCAAAGCCACCCGCCGGAACCCTGCTTCTCCTATCAAGTCAAGCCTCCCATTTGACTTCAAGCACTCCTACTCTGAATCCGACCCGAGTTTAGAACCCATCGGGTTCCGAGAGCCTAAGAGTTTTCTCCATTCGGACCCGGCAGGCTTGATAGGGAATGGACCGGGACTTCAGCGCCCGTCCGAGATGAAGTCGATAGTTTTCGGGTTGAAGAGGAGAGGATTCGGGTTCTTGGGGACCCGCTTACGTAGGAGGAAGTTGGGGAACTGGTTGAGAAGTATCGGCATAGCGATTGTGCTCGGCAAATCAATCTGGGTAATTTTGTTTTTCATCTCTTTTTTGATTGATAGGCTGTTTTATTTTTCAATTAAAAATGGAAGCTTTTCATTTATAAATCACATTAAGCTGAAAAGCATGAATCACAGACATGTAGATACAGTTTAAATGTGAAATATAAAATACCCTTTTCGTCCCTCTTACACTAATGGTTGAAATTCATGTAAATTCCATGTTTTGGGGTTGAAAATCCCTCGATTTCGTTTAGGTTCTTCGGTATCGGGGAATAGTTCTTTATCAATGCATATGATATAACTATAGCTTGGAGTTTAATGTCAAGTAGGTGGCAAGTATTCCTTATATATTTGTCATCATTAGGCTTTCTCTTATTTGTTTTGGAGCTTCATGCTGATCTGGAAGTATCCGTGTCGGATCGATAGCTGGATTCGATACTTACTTCATGTTGAGTTCAAGTAATGTAGATGAAATGAAGGGTGGGATTTAGTGAAGGTTTGATGTTTATTCTATATCTTCCTGCATTAGATCTTCTCCTATTTGTTGTTGGAGCTTTATGTTGATCCAACTTTTCATCTACTTTTTAAAGTGCCCATTTCGGATATATAATCGGATCCTTGTGTCTGAATAACATAGATCGGAATGAATGGTGGGGATGAGATTTTGAGAAGGTTTGATTGCTATGTGTTAGGGAAGAATGGGGTCACACACACCGTGTTGGATGACATTCACAATCATTGGAAGAGACCTGAAGCTGTAAGGATAAAGTGCTTGGGAGTGCTAACTCTTTATATGGACAATGTTTGCTTCCACCTAGAGGTTTGAACTAAAAACAGTCTCCATTACCGTGTGACGGTGTGATTTCATTTCTTTTGGATTTATTATCAGCGGATATCGATGGTAGTATCTCTATAGGAAAAATCTGGGGGGAAGATCATCTACCGCCACATAAATATCCTCATTTTGTATCTAGGTCGAAACTATGATCACAAGAATCGACCAGTTATACCTCTTATGCTATGGAAGCCTTATGCTCCTATATATCCACAGCTTGTGAAGAACATTGCCGATGGCCTAACGTTCGAAGAAACCAAAGAAATGAGAAATAGATGACTCCATTCTCCTGCTCTTATGAAACTCAGTAAGTCCTTTTCCAAGAGCGTTTTCTAGCATGGACATACCATTTATAGTCAGAACATTGAATTAAACGTAGCAGTTAACAATCATATTCAATGTAGTTGTTGAAGATATTACCATATATGATAGCCTTAAAGAGTGCCCCTCGGAGTCTCAGACACTTGTTTGCAAAATCATAAATGACACAATAAATGGATTGTTAGAGTAAATACTGATGCAGCAATCTTATGTTTCAGCAAGGAATGGAATGTATGTAAATGTAGCAGCCCGGGTTCGGGAGGCCTTTGAGACTGAAGAGATGATTAGACTCGACTACACCCATGTCGGTATGAGTGACTGCAAAAGGATCGGTTTAAAGCTAAGGGTATTACTTTTATTTCTCATTGTTTCTGGTATTTACCAGCTTTTTATAAATATTGATGGTCTTCAATCCAATATGAATTTTTGGTCTGTTTCTTTTCCTGTAAATGTAGGACTTGGTTCCTTGTGTACCTATTTTGTTCAAGGACGAACAGATAATAATCTGGAGGGGAAAGAGTGACCGGGAATTAAACCCCAACATTTCAGATGCCAACGAGAAATCTTCGAGTATGTAGTTAAGTTTCTAAACCGGAAATCTGATGCAGTAACGAATTGGACTATCAGTTATGTATGCTTCCAGGCCAAATATAGTTGGCTAGATTGCTTGTTTATTCCATTTACCAGAGAAGCCTTGGTTGTCAATGAGAATCAACGTACCAGCTCATTTAAGCGACTTGTCTTCATTGTATGCACTGCTGCATACTGCATTCCAGAAGTGTTTTTTTTTTGGTTGTTTAAAAAAGGAGGGGCTGAAGTTACTAGTTAGGTTGTCTGTTTACAAGTTTGCCATTGTCCTGTAATTTAAAGCCAGTCTTCATAATGTAAAAAAAAAAAATTGAAAAGAACAATGGACATGATAGAAAGTTTTGCACTAATACCTTTTGGATTGTAGCCATGGCAAGCTGCACAGATGAGACTACATGTACACCTATTTGTTAATAATTGAATGGTAAGGTGCTCTTTGAACAAGATATAAAATACTATTGATATAAAAAATAATATAAATACAATATAAATGTGGATGTCTTATAAAATTTATAAATCATATTTTATTATTCAAACTCTATTTGATCTTTTTACTCAAATCAGTTTCTTGAGTTGAATCAAATGTTTTTTTTTTTCATAGCAAAAAAGATCCTTACTGGTAGCTTCTAAGTTCAGCAGGTAAACATTTGGGTTTTCTTCATGATTGAATAAAAAACTTAGTAAACCAGTCTACAATACAGGACAAAGCCGGATATACTGTCGAAAGTGAATTAAAGAGATCTGATGTGTAATGCAGGGAATAAACTAATACAAAGTAAAAAAGGATAATCATATGGTATTTCATAAATTTTACGAGTGCATCGAGTTCAATAACTTGAGAGCCTTGACGCCCGCAGAATCCTTATTTTCTTCGATTTCGCCATCACTATCACTGTAGAAGTATATTTTGGACCTTTTCCGTTTATTGTTTGCATCTGGTTCTCCTTCTGAACCAGAAATATCATCCTCGTCTTCATCTCCATCCTCATCTTCCCTGTGCCCTTCTTCAACTTCCATCTTTTTCTTTATCCATTTCTCCCTAAGCCGTTGCCGCTCTAGAAGCTTGTCTTCCTTGTCCACCTGCTTCAGCTCTTCCGTCATTTTCTTGTAGTACTCATTCTTTTTGTCTGCAACATGGAATAAATGAGTTAAATGAACATCAAGAGGCAAGCATCTATTCAACACCAAAGCTCATAAAGCAGTTCATTTGATCATCTCTTTATGCCAGGAAATGAACCACTATTTATACAGCCATTCAAAGGTTTAGTTGGAAAACGAACCTAATTCATCCTAGGATTAGGTTAAAAGTTGCAGAAGAGTAACCTATAAACTATATTACTCCAACTTCATTGTGAATGTCGAAACCAGGTATGTGTTTGACACAAATATTTTCCAATTTTTTTTAAAAAAAAATTCTATAGAAAATCATATTTATATTCCCATTTTTAACCATGTTTCAAACATGGGTGTAGATCTCGTGTATTCCAAGAAAACTGAAGGTCGGTATAACCTTCAGTACACAAGTGATAATGTAATACCTTGGTCAAGTTGTATCTCGCCATTAGCCTTCTCAGCCAACATGGCAAGTGGAGCCTGTGTGTTGCCTTCCTCATCAGGGGTCTGATATTCCATCAATTGCTACGATGGCCAGCTCCAGGCAGTGGTCTTTGATTTCCTATTACATGACAGTTGTACGTACACAATCTCTGAAGCTTGAAATGATAGATTTTCTTTTCAAAATCATCTGGCAAAGATAATGATGGTATCATGAGGGAAGCTCTATTGGATTTCTATACAAGTCCAGACAAAGGAAGCCAAATTCATCAGGGGGAAAATTTGTTCGGACAAGAAGAAATTGTCACGAGTCCATATTTGCCAGGATGCACGCTGGTGCAAACAAAGAATGAAGACTGCCCATGCAATCATTCCCACCATTGATCAAGAAAACATACATCAACACATACATACATGTTAAATTAAATTTGTATCTTTGCATCAAACATTCATCATCATGTGCAATAAAGACTTTGATTTTCCCTCTCATGAGTATACTTTTAAAATTTTCACTTGAAATATTGTCTTTATTAAAGACATTTTCCCCTCTCATGAGGACAAATTCAAAAATTCATCAAATCAAACACATAAAATAAACTTCATCTTGGCATCCATCATAACATCCAAGATAGTTATTCATAAATGCATCATTTTTATATTGATCTTTCAGTAAATCAAAGTTTGGTGATGACCAAATGTCCTCAACATGAAGGAATAATTTTGACATCCTGAAGTCAACGATAAGATATTTTAGAGGAATTTCCTCAATATGCAAGAGTGGGCAGTCTATAAGCCTTTGAGATCGTCTCTCTCAAAACAAACTTCATCTCGCTTAAGACATTTTTCCACAAATTTTGAAAATTTTGAAACAAAATTGATATCACTTGAGATTGTTTCTCTCAAAACAAATTTCGTCTCGTTTGAGACAGTTTTCCCTTGAGATGAAAATTTTGAATTTGTTTCACTTGAAACCAAGTTGATCTTACTTGAGATTGCTTTTCTCAAAATAAATTTTGTCTCACTTGAGACAGTCTTCCTTAAGACACGAACATTTGAGATTGTTTTTTTATTAAAAACAAAGTTTCATCTCGTTGGAAATAGTTTTTCTTGAAACAAAATTTATCTCACATGAGATAGTTTTCCTAAAAAAAATTCGTCTCACTTGGGACAATTTTCCCTCGAAATACAAATTTTGAAATGGTTTCACTTGAAACAAATTTCGTCTCACTTGAGACAGTTTTCCTTCGAAATTCAAATTTGTTTCACTTGAAACAAAATTGATAAACCGTTGAGATTGTTTCCCTAAAAAAAAAGTTTCGTCTCGCTTGAGACAGTTTTTCATGAAACAAAGTTTTGTCTCTCTTGAGACAGTTTCTCTTGAAAAATAAACATTTGAGATTGTTTCCCTTGAAAAAAAATTTGTCTCGCTTGAGATAGTTTCTCTTGAAACAGAAATCTTTGAGATTGTTTCCCTTGAAACAAATTTTGTCTTGCTTGAGACAGTTTCTCTTGAAACAAATTATCCCTAAAGATGGCTAGACGTCCTCATCACGTAAGAACAATTTCATCCATCGACCAAATCTCCTCATCACGTAGGAGCAGCGTCATCCTCATATAACCAGACTTCCTTATCACATAGGAACCGTGTTGGCTACCAAATTATCCCTAAAGATGGCTAGACTTCCTTATCATATAAGAACAATGTCGTCCACCGACCAGATCTCCTCATCGCGCAGGAGCAACATCATCCTCAAATAACCAGACTTCCTCATCACGTACGAACTATGTTGTCTCCCAAATTATTCCTAAAGATGGCTAGATGTCCTCATCATGTAGGGATAATGTCATCCACCGACCATATCTCCTCATCACGTAGAAACAACGTATGATTCGTATTATCTCCCAAATTATCCCTAAGGATGACTAGACTTCCTCATCACGTAGGAATAATGTCGTCCACCAACCATATCTCATCGCGTAGGAGCAGCGTCATCTTTAGATAACCAAACTTCCTCATCACGTAGAAACCGTGTTGTCTCTGAAATTATCCCTAAAGATGGCTAGACATCCTCATCACGTAGGAACAATGTCATCCACCGACCAGATCTCCTCATCACGTAGGAGTAGTGTCATCCTCATATAACCAGACTTCCTTATCATGTAGGAACAATGTCGTCCACCGACCAAATATCCTTATCGCATAGAAGCACTGTCATCCTTAGACAATCAGACTTCCTCATCACGTAGGAACCATGTTGTTACCAAATTATCTCCAAATTGACCCGACTTCCTTATCGAGAAAAAACAACGTCATCTTCAACAAACAATTTACCTGAAAAAGGCCAGATCTCTTCAACATGGATAGCAGCGTCGTCTTTAAACTCAAATGTCAAAGCGAAAGAAAGAACCGGAAAAAAAACTCGTTGCCTTGTTGTGTTTGCCCTATTCTTGTTAACACAAGAATGGGCAAAAAGGGGCAGCTGTATACACCCATTTTTTTTCCGGGTTCTATTATTATTATTATTATTATTATTATTATTATACTAATAATAGTTTTATTATTACAGTTGGCCAAATTTACAAGGACCCAAGATACAACAAACAACCCAAATGGAACCCAAAATACAAGCAGACCCATAATCTAACTCGGTCCAAGATTAAACCCGGTTCATGCCCAACTCAACAACCCAAATTAATTAGGGTTTCTGAACCCTAATCCTTTCAGCCGCCCCTACCACCACCAGTTGAAAAGTCGCACTGCCGTCACTGTTCTGGGCTATTCACGATGATCCGACTGCCATTTCAACCGTCACACCGTCATTTATAGTAAACCAAATCAATCAAAAGATCAAAATCAACAAAAAAATCGTCATCAACAGTGAACATCCAACCAAACCTATTAAAAAAATCAGATTTTGTCAGATTGGGAATCTGATTTTTATTATTTTTTTCTAGGAAATCATTTCCCTATGGGTTTTAGTCGCACCAAACACGCAAAAAAGATAGAGATATAGAGAAGGTTTTTGAGGGAGGGAATAGATTCGAACGAAAAACACAAGGGGAACCATCTTTCAATAAAAAACCAGAGAGATACTAGATTTAAACAAAATAAATAGAGAAGAAAAGACTCACCTTCTAGTAAAACACGATCACTGTTGATTGCATCGATATAAGGGGTCTACCCTACCATTGAAGGTAACTCTCTTACCTTTCTGGTTTGGGGATTAGTTGGGGTTTAGTGTCGATAGGTGCTTAGTTTAAAGGGGTTAAGGGTCAAAGGTTTGTTTTTTGGTTTGTAAAAAATGGGTAAAGAGAGCAAGGGAGTTTCTTTCGGGTGTTGGCCACTGTCAGGACCATCAATTTGTGTGGACGAAGTAATGGTCGGTGCTATCAGAGAAAATGATAGAAGAGAAAGAGAGGAGGGCGACAGGTAAAAAACATGAATTTTTAGGGTTTTAAGAACCCTATAAAGATGGTTATATATTATCTATGGCGCAACATTGGTTTGACCAAGGGGAGTCCGCGCGTTCGAAAAAGGGGAAAATAGCGTGTTTGGTCATTGCCTTTTGTAATCTCACCCTTTAACCTATGAATGAAATTCTCATCTTTATGATTCGATCCTGTTATTTACATATTATTTGATTTTGATCCTTCTACGTACATTGATAGATCTTATTGATATTTATGATCTAGTCTTTAAACTTGATTTTATTTTATTTTAGTCCTTCTTATTTTAAATGTTTTATTTTTTTCTCAGCACATGTGTTGTGTGATATTTCTATTTTTGCCCTGATGTTTGCCATGTTCATTGGTATGTCTTTCAAGTTACTTTTATTACTACTTAGTCCTTTACTTTACTAAGTATGTCTAATTTTTATTTGTATTTTAGCATATCATATTTGTATATTCGTGTTTTAGTTCAAATTATAACTCTCTTTATTAATAGTCCATATCATAACTTATATATTCATATATGTATATACATAATATATTATAAATATATATTATTGATTATATACGTATAATAAATTCATTTTATTCTTTATATATATTTTTATACATATATATATATATTTAATATATTTTGACCCTTATATATATTTAGGTATATATTTTGATATTTTTAAGTTAACATTTTTGAAAAATTATAAAATACCCTAAAATATTTGATAATGATGATTTATCAATTCTTCTCACTCGAATCTATTTTCAAGAACATTCGTCGTAGAATATACATGAAAAGCACTGCTTGATCGAAGTAGTGTGATTCGATATGACATTCGAACAATAGGTGAACTTGAAATTGATCAAATTTATTTTTTCAATTCATTCTTTTATTTTAGTTTAATGGTAACGTTTGTTTCTTAAAATTGTATGTCATGTTGTTTATGAAATTACCAATAATTTTCATTCGATTTGTAATCTTTGGCAACAATGATGAGGGAATATTATTTTACAGATAAAAAATAGGCGAGACAACTTTCCCGATGGATGATTGCTAATATCAAGATTTCATTTCAAGTTAAAGAATTTTCTCTAATAAATAATTTGAAATGAATTAATTAAACTTTAATAAATGGATCATACTTTAATTATCGATGCGAATTTATGATTTCCGCCATTTACAATAATATTTAAACGACTAAGAACCAATTTTGGGCGATGTGAGGGTGTTAATATTTCCTTACGCATAATCGACTCCCGGACCCGTTAAATCGGATTTTTGGTAAACGTAGACCAATTTTTGTCTTAAAAACGATTTTTTCTTAAAATTATTTTGAAGGACGGTTTTTGAGTATTCGACCTACCCAACCTATAGGTCGATGACGACTCCCATTCAAATTAATTCTAAGTCGCCAATTTTTCAAATCAAAATCATAATTGTTTTATTAAAAAACTTAATTGTTTTATAAAAAAAATGGTTATTACACCGTGATAAATCGCTGTAGCCTCTGTAACACCACAATCACAACAATCAGGCAAAGGAATGGCATGACAAACCAAGGTCAACCCATTATGATCACGAGCCACTACGCCGATTACTGACCTTCTCTCCGAAAGTGAGCAAGCTGCATCAA